TGCAATAAAAATAATAATAAAAAAAAAACAGAGAGAGAGAAAAATTATGGAAATCCAGTACAAAGAATTATCTTGCTCAAAAAATATAAAAAATAGGTGTGATACTGTGTCTGTGTGTATGTGTGTGTGCGCGCATGTGAGAGACATTTTTTTATTACACATTTGAGTTCACATCTATGTACGTGTTATAAGTTCACATAGATGTAAACAAATTTTAGTCATTATAAATAGATAGATAATTATAACTATTATTAAAAATATTGTTATGAAAAGTCTTAGTCACAATCCAGGTTCTTGACTGGTCATTCATTTAGTTGAATATTAACATGTGCTTATGTTAATATCACTTTAAATTATCATTTTCTATATTCTATTGAAACTAAAATTTTGTTAATTCAATACATGTTTTCCAATATCGATAAATAGAGAAGAAGAACCAAAATAGTTATGACAAAAAACGTCATCTTAAACATTTAACAGTATAATAAACACAAACACATGTACTGGACTTCAACGAAACGATTTTTTGTAAAAATTAATAGGGATTATTGAAGATCAAGTACTGGCAACAATGAGACTTCCATTATCAATGGAAAGCCTCACATAGCGTATTCAAACGACACCAAAAATAGCCCACCGAGAAAAAAAAAAATGTAGAAAAGACAAAATTTTCTTTCCTCGAAAATTACGACGAATGTACCATATAGGGATCCGTGACACAAAATCGACGGATTCGAGAGCTCGAAAGCGACTCTCGAGAGTTTCTCGAGTCAATCGATATACATATATACGTAACGTAAAAAGCATGAGGCACTTGATCTTTCATTGGTAGCGTTAGTATTTTTTCGAATGGTGTATATGTGCACGACTATGCGGCGAAATAAGCACCTTTTGGAAAGACACAAAAGTATATCGCCTTGCCCCATCCATTCTCGGGCGGATGAAGACGTCCGTCAACGAGACGAATGCCGCGCATCGTGCGCGACTCCGGATTCCGATATTTCAGGCCGCACGTTCCGGGAAACTGGGCGGTCACGGTGGTCAATAGGAGTGTGCTATCGTCCTCTGTAGGTAATTCAATCGGCTCGTCGCCCTCATCTTCGGCTACTTGAATGTACAACGACATATTTTTTCCTTCTGTATTTTCAAATGTACGGTTTAGCCCACAAAGAAGCAAAACTCTGTCTCTCCTAGCCCGATTACAGACCCAGAGAGAAGAAAAATCGTACAACACAACAAACACACACTCGCTCCGACCAAGCAGTCAGTCACGCAACACCGCACCTACTCGCTTCTCACAGCTAGACAGGTCTGCCAACCGCATCCGTCTCCCTCCCCTTCTTGAGTATTATAATGTGACTGCAAAATTCTATTCAATTTCCGGTTGCAAAATAATATTTACGACAAATAGTGAACATTTTATTGATCATAGCCAAAACGATTTGAAATGGGAAGTTTTTTGAAATACTTGTGACATATTTTTGTCCATTTACTGAAATTCTTTAACTTATATCAGATAGAAAATAGTACTACTACTATGTTCAAATCAATAATTTATCTATTTGTTAATATAAACTAAAACTTAATATTTTTCAAAACAATTGAATTAAAAGAATAAAGAAAATTTAATAAAATGAAAATAAATTATTAATTTATTTATATCT